CTGATGGCTGACTGGAGTCCTGTTTGGGTTTCTTCTCTGCTTTCAGGAAGGCCCAGTTAGGATATCCACATTGCTCTAGAGCCTGTCTTGTGTGGGATTTCTCCTTCTGCCTGGCTCCTGAGCTAGTGGGGACGCTGTCTGCTCTGTGGTACAGAGTCCTGATGACTCCTAACTTGTGCTCCAAAGGGTGATGGGAGTCAAACTGCAAATACTGGTCTGTGTGGGTGGGTTTGCGGTACACCTCGGTTTGCAAATGTCCTCTATCAGAGACTGAGACCTCACAGTCCAAGAAAGCCAGCCTGCCATTTTTTACATCTTCTCGTGTGAACTTGATGTATTTATTCGATTCAATTCAATTCAGTTTATTTATAAAGCGCCAAATCACAACAAAGTTGTCTCAGGGACTTTACAGGAACATTCACAAAAAAGCCAATTAGTAAAGTTCTCTATCTAAGGAATCCAGCAGACAAGATGAATCTTGGCTTCGTTGCAGTCTCCCATCCTGAGCAAGCACAGTGGAGACAGTGGAAAGAAAAAACTCCCTTTAACAGGAAGAAACCTCCAGCAGAACCAGGATCAGGACAAGAGACCATCTGCTTTGACCGGCTGGTTGAGAGGACAGGAAGGAGAGACAGACGAACACAGAATGGTAGGTCCAGATATTCACCTTATTCTGCAAGAGCGTATGTGGGCTGCCATGACAGACAGGTACCGCCCCCTCCCGGTTTTATACTTCCGGTGAGCTAAAGCGAGAGGCACTTTTGCTAATGACAAATTCTAGTAATTTGTGCTGTAGCAGGAGGCTTAAACAATTCTAAAATGAGTTCGGGTTCAACTTGTGCTGTTGTTGGCTGTCACAACAGCTCCAGAAAACTGAAAGACGAGCTAGAAACGTATTGTTTTGCACATCAACAACTTCGAAAGGCCTGTGTGTGCCCAGCGCGTTACGAACTGCACTCCATGCCGAGGAAGGAGGATCGAAAACGAGCGTGGCTGGCAGCTTTAAAACTCAAATACCCCCCGAAGAGAGTTTATGTTTGCTCCTTTCATTTTATTGATAAAAAGCCCACAGAGCTTCACCCCGACCCGGAGCTCTATCTGGGCTATGACCGGGCCCCACCAAAGAAAAGAAGGCAGCTCATCCGGACCACTGTGAGCCAGACAGCTTCCAGCAACATCGACAAAACGGCCGAATCTGTTCCCGGTGAGTGAAATTGAAAATGTGATTTGTCCCCGCTTCACATTTTAATCATGCTTAGCTCTTATCTTTTACTGAATTATATTATTATTAATGTTATAATTGTAATGTTATAATTACTATACTGTGGATGGTGTTAGCATCAGCGCTAGCTGGTTGCAGTGTTATTGTGGATGTTAGTGTATTATTAATTTAATTCCAAAATACTTTATCACTAAGAGAAAGTACTTGATTGGCAGCCAAATCCAAATCTTAAAGACAAAGTGGTTAGTAATTAACATCAGTAGCATGCTAGCAGAGATGTATATGATTTCATGTAACTGTCCGAGAATAGCTTTTTATTTAGCAACCTGGTAAAATTCAGCCCCCAGGGCTGTAAAAGTCTGGGGATTTTGTTAATAAAGAATATGTTGAGTTATTAGAGGCAGGTTATTTGAAACAGACACAGCTGAAAAAAAAACTTCTTTTAAACTCTTTAAAGAAAAAGCTTAAATGCAACCTAGCTCCAACTGATTTTTTTAAGGATAAAAACTAAAATCTAATCACAATATTTTGATATTATAGCATAATTTGATGGGGCTTAGGAAAATTTAAGGGGGCTAAAGCCCCACTAAAACAGCACTATTGACATTTAAGATGTATCATGTGTGTACGAGTGTGGAATTACAAATTTCCTTCCTAAAACGTAATAAGGTAAGTGACACTTGACAGGTTGTGTTACGCTGATTTGATTTTGTATTTTTGTGTTATTCAGAGTGCACCGTAGATTCACCGTCAGTCATCCCAGACCTGGCTAGCGTCTCCACACAACCTCCTGGGCCACATCTGCACTCAGTCCACACACAGTGGGAGGACCCTTCGCTAAAAGATCATCATCAATACTGCAACACGTCTGGCAGAAAAGATGTCCAGGACAAGACGACTCAGTGTGATGAAGTTGCATTTTTTCTTCTACAAAATGACGCAGACGCTTTGCTGTACACTGGTATAGCGTTAGAAACATTTCACACTCTTGTGTCAGCACTGGAAGGAGATGACAACAATGAATTTACAATGCCTGTACAAGATCAAGTCCTTATAACACTTATGAAAATAAAGACTAATCGTGTAATGGGTGACCTAAGCCGCCAGTTTAATATATCACAGAGCATGGCTAGCAAGATCATTTCATACTGGTTAGACAGACTGGAGGAATATTTCCGACCATTAATTCCGTGGCTGGCAAAAGAAACTATTCAAGCTACTATGCCTGCAGCCTTCAAGAAGAACTTTCCGAATACTACATGCATAATAGACTGCAGTGAGAGCCTGTTGCAGAAACCCAAAAATCTGGGCTCAAGAGGTGAATCATACAGCCACTATTATTCACACAACACAGTCAAATATTTGGTAGCTGTTGCACCATGTGGACTAATCATGTTTGTGTCTGCGGCATATGGCGGTCGATGTAGTGACAAATTTATCACAATGGACTCTGGAATATTAAACTACCTGAAACCTGGTGATGAAGTCATGGCAGATAGAGGTTTTACAATAAAAGAGTTGCTTTTTGAGAGAAAAGTTAGATTAGTAATTCCTGCTTTCACAAAAAAAAAAGGGACAGCTAACTGAGGAACAGGTAACATGCACGCGTCGGATTGCAAATGTTAGAATTCATGTTGAAAGAGCAATCCGACGTCTGAAAGTTTACAAAATTTTATCTCAAACTGTTCCCATAAACATGGCTCCTAAAATAGACAAGATTTTGAGGATATGTGCTGCTCTAGTCAATTTGAGAAAGGATCTCATCCGTGACACAGAATAATTTTAATGTACAGATATGTAGGGAGGAAATACCCTGATGCATACTCAAAAATCCAGGTAGAAAAATCTAAAAAAGCCAAGTCCGGTCCTCTACACATTCAAAAAAATGCTTTGGTTTGTTTTGCTTTTTTTGAATGTTCAGAGGACCAGACTTAGCTTTTTTAGATAGGGAGTAAATAATTTCTAGGTTTCCCTTTTTTATATATTTTTATATATTTTATATATTCTCCACATCATGAATGTTTTTGTTGAAAAGCTTACTTAATAGTGTACATATGATGCAATCAACTGAACAATGATTCTTTTTTTTATTCAACCACAATATAACAGTTTCTTCAAAATGGCAACAAATGATTTTCTCAAAACAACAATGTACATATTGTCTTGTCTTGGAAGATTGCAAAAAATAGATAACTACTTTGTCATCAACTTCAATTTGTTATTAATTGCCCAGCATGTGTTTAAATTTTGTACATTTTACTTGTGAAATATTCAACAAATTTTCTATTAAATGTCTGCTTTCATTCACAACACAGACTTGAACTCTGACTATATTGATGTCTGGCTGTCAAATTCATAGTTGTCCTTAAGGGCCAATGTACATTACAGCTTGTCCATTATCTTCAAGTATCTGTCATTTAACTTAAACCGTCCTGCAACATACTCTTCTACAAGCCGAGGCAAGAAACATGAGAAGTAAAAGCCTCTCAAGCGGTCTACTTTTTCTTTAACAAATGCCTCATCATATTGCACTGTAAATGAAACATGCTCACTTGGTGTCCAGATCACAAGTGTTGCAGTCTTTAGACGTGTGCAAAACATTGTAAGCTGCACTTGCATGTAATAGCCTCTGCTTCCTGTTTTATGCAGCTGCAGCTCTCCATCTACCAATTTGATGTCGCTGCACTTCTGGGTAAGCTGCTCAGTGAGCGAAGGATGGGTTGGTACAGGACATTTAATTTCTAGCAGCACATCTGAATCAATGACCCCATCAGGACTAGCAGAGAGCCATGGCTCCTGGATGCTGACAACAGTACCCACGTGAATGATGTTCACACCCTGTTCTGTCAGTTGATCACAAGCTCTGATCTCATTTTCTTTACCGTAGTTTGTGTCATAATTACCATGAAAGGAGGGGTACAGGTGCTCCGATAAAAACTTGTCATTTTTTGTGGTAGCACGAACTGGAACTTTTTTTGCAGTGCTTGCTGTGAGTCTGATTTTTCTACAGTTGTGCCACAAATCTGATGCACTTTGTTCTTTAGTTTTTTCTTGTAATTGTGATGCTTGCTGTTCAGAAACTTGAATATATGCCAGATAGAATGCCCTGCATGGATTACAGCTAAGATCACCACTGTGTGCTTGGTGTGGCAGAAAAAATTGCTGATCAATTGTGCTGTTGCAGTGAGGTTCTGCTGATGGTGAGGCATTGTAACACTTTCCAATTAATGTGTTCTTGAGGAGAAACAGTGGCTTCATTGGCGCTTTGCTAACACTGTCTTTGAAGTCTTGGTGTGTATGATGATGTGGCGTGTTTGGGAGTGATTGTGTGACTGCAGCCCTTGAGTTGATGTTATACTGCTGCTCTGCCTTGTGGTGTCTGAAGTTTATCATGCTTAGACGTTTGGGTTGAAGATTCTTTGCTGTCCCAGCATTCCACCTGCGCTGCTCATCTGTACATGCTAGCCCCGTCTTTCCACTGATCACAGCATTCTGGACCTGTAACAATTTAACAGACTTCAGCTATCACTGCTCCTAATAAAATGAAACAAGTTATTTACATCCCTGCTGTTGTCATTTATTTTTTCCTTTTCTGTAAATGTTAGGTTGCCTTGCATCCAGTCTGTACTTTTTTAAAAACAAATAATATAAAAATACTGTACAGCCTTTTTAATGTGTAATTTTTTGTGACAGTAGATCACAGGCTGCACAATGCTCTGGCTTCCACATGTAAACACAGGCAGACAGGAAGCTCACAGCTTTCGCCCAGTTCAGTGATTCTGATTCAGTGATGTAAATATTCTGATATCCAGATAAGTGATATACCTTCCACAGAATAGCTGCCGCATGACTGCATGATTTTCCCAATCCGGCGATACAGGAACAGCCGACCGTTTCTACCACTCCACTTTCTCTGAGCATGACCCATGCTAAGTGTTTAGCTTGACCAACGCTCTGGCTCGGCTCAACAGCTGCTTTCAGAAAGATAAAGTCGCCTTGTTTCTTGAGCAAAACTGTATCTATTTTGTTGCTGTGGAGGTAATTATACGCCTCTGTGCTTTTATAATTCCGCAATTCCTCGCCATCGACGCCTTCAGAAAAAACAAGGTAATTAATAATATCGATGTAGGTAATTCCGGGCCATGATTTCATATCATCTACCCAGTCCGTGAGAAATGATGGGTGAGACACAGTTAACGACTTATCTTCGCAGCTTTTTAAAACATCCTTGCAATGTATCCACCTCTGATGTGCTGCCATTTACTTCAGGTAAAGGAAACTTTTGTGTCAAAAACATTAAATTGCTAGCAAGTGTGTTAACCCACAAACGTAAACAACAGCGCGGGATCGCGGGCGGAAGTAAACAACCGGCTTCCGCTATGAATTATGGGTAGTGGCGCCAAATCCGGAATAAGGTGGATAGGTCCAGGTCCAGGTATAGGTCCAGGTGTATCTGAAAGACAAAAAAACACATGTTAATGATATAAAAAATAATTACAAATACAAACAGGTTGAGCAGAGTAAAGACAGTAGCAGAGTGAAAATTGTGGTCAGTTTGTCCTCCAGCAGTCTAAGCCTATAGCAGCAGAACTAAGGGACAGCTCAGGAAACCCAAGCCGACCCTAACTATAGGATTTAGCAAAAAGGAAAGTCTTAAGCCTAGTTTTAAAACTGGATAATGTGTCAGCCTCACGGACAGAGGTTGGAAGTTGGTTCCACAAGAGAGGAGCCTGAGAACTGAAAGATCTGCCTCCCATTCTGTTTTTATAAACTCTAGGAACCACAAGTAAACCTGCAGTCTGAGAGCGAAGTGCTGTGTTAGGAAAATATGGAACAATAAGATCAGTAATATAATGTAGCACTGGGGGAGTGGTTATCTTTTAAAAATGAATATGAACGTTATAATAATGGAAAATGTTAATTCTTTAGTCAATTTGCAATGAGTGAAAACCAACAACGCCACCTGGGATTATACTCCAGGAAATAAAAGGACACGTAAGTTTGTTCTACTGGAGGAAGGAGACAAGATTCAAATAAACTTTACCAAATTTATTGTGGGGGTAATTTGCACAAGTTAAAAGTATTCAAAAAGTATTTTAAAACATGCAATATCAGAAAATTGTTGACTGCATTTAATTGTTTAACACAGCTGTGCTGGAGTTAAAAAAACCCCACTAAAATATCAGGTGAGACTGAGGCTTACTAGTGGGGAGGGGGGCTGTGAAGACAAGGAGACCACATCCAGCGAAGAAAGAGGGATCAACTAAACTACAAAAGAGAAAAGGAGTGTTCCACACACAAAGCGAGACACCGCCACCAGGAGTCACCACCGCCACCACACGAAGTCTCAGTCCCTGAAAAATAAATAAAAATGAACAAACAGCCTTAACGAAACAGCCGCGTCACAATATTTCATAAAAACAGATTGAGTGGTGCACTCAGTTCATTAAAATCAAAGCCTCAGCCAGTAGGGCAAGGGCCCGAGTTAGTTTTTATATTTTTTCCTCTAGGCAAAACAGCAGCGAGCAGAATCCAGCTGAACAGCAGGAGAAGGCTCATCTGAAAACTGCAAATTTGTATGTTACAGCACAATCTTATAATAGAGTTGCTGTATAAATTGGATCATGCAGCTTCAAGCCATAAATTGGGCACACAACAGACAGACCGGTCTTATACCCAGGAGGCACAGCAGAGAAGAGGCTAGACTGAGAATGTTATCTGCAGCAGAAGCAAGCAGACGTCGTGACAAACGCCGTGTACCCAGACAGAAGTGACGTGCTTTTATACAGAAGTCTTCCTGGAATACTGTTTCTTGGCCTTTCTGACGCCAAGGGACAGGTTGTTTCTGGCTTACCTCAGGCCCACCTGATCTCCGTTGTGAAGGTGGCGTTTCTGGCTCTCAGGAGTCTGTAGACCTCTGCTGTCAGCCATGGCTTCTGATTTGCCTGAACACTGATAGTCTTGAGGTCAGTTACATCATCAGTACAATTCAATTCAATTCAAAAATATTTTATTAATCCCAGAGGGAAATTAAATGTTGTTGTAACTCATCATCCTGGTTTCATTAAAGAGTTGTTATAGATGCTGATGGCTATGGGCAGGAAGGATCTCTTGTAGTGGTCTGTCCTACAACGGATTTGAAGAAGCCTCTGACTGAAGACACTTTGTTGTTGTATGACAGTCTGATGAAGAGGGTGCTGAGTGTTGTCTATAGTGTTCTTCATTTTATGAAGAATCCTTCTTTGTACAATAATCTCCAAAGGTTCTAGAGGAGCCCCCAGAACTAAGCCAGCCTTCTTTATGAGCTTGCTGATCTTTTTTAAGTCACTTGCTCTGGTGCTGCTCCCCCAGCAGATGATGGCAGAAGAGACAGCGCTCTCTACAACAGATTTATAGAAGATATGCAGCATATTGCTGCAAACGTTGAAGGACTTCAGCTTCCTCAAGAAGTACAGTCTGCTCTGTCCCGTCTTGTAGACGGCTTCATTGTTGCATTTCCAGTCCAGTCTGTTGTCCAGGTGAACCCCAAGATATTTATACTTCTCCACTACCTCTACTTCTTCTCCCATGATGGAAATAGGGTTGGACCTGTTCCTATTTCTCC